CAGTTTAATTTTTTTAACAAAAAAATCTAACTTACGTTTTTAATTCTATTCCTTTTAACACTGTGAACTGTCTTAAGTCCTCTTACTTATTATTTAAGTATATATTTTTATTTTATATTTATTTATTTATAAATAATAATAAATAAATGCTCAGACTGAAGAAGAATCCTAATAAACTCAAAAGTTTACACTAAAATGTTACATTTTTAGGGGTCCCACTCAGACTGAAGAAGAATCCTACTAAACTCAAAGGTTTACACTAAAATGTTACATTTTTAGAGGTCCCGGAAGCAAGTCTACCTCTTTGATAACAATATTATCCAAAACATATCTGAAATTCAGCTATTTCAATATTCAATTATTGCTCATTCCTCTTTCCTAGCGCTACTTTTATTCTGAGATTCGATAGGAATCAGAAGGAAAACAGACAAGTCTTACCCCGAAACATCAAGAAACGAATCGTAATTTGCCCTTCTCAAAATATTTTCATTTTAATTCTCAAGTGAGCCTGCAAATAACTAACATCATGATGACATTTTTTTTATGTGAAAAGCTGTTCTCAAGATAACCATGTATCACTTCTTGAAATATCTGTCTGAAGAGTCACTGTTTCGATCACTGGCTTCCTTCTGAAAACAAGGGCAGAGTTTATTATCAAAACTGGGCCCCAAACAGACTGAAACATCTGGAGCAAAGAAAGATCAACAACAGCCAACAGATGGGCTCCCTGCAAAATATCCAGGAGCAGAGGTCAGGAGGAATGAAACCACTGTGCTGGCTTCAGGACTTGACTTCTCTAATCTTCTCCAGACTAAACATATCCAAACAGCAACTACATAATGTCGCAGCTTAGTGAAATAATACTTCAAGTTTGGCTGCTAACAAATGGAAATAATTCCAATACACTGCAGTCATTTTTTTTAAAAAAAATGCGTTCATATTATAAATGCTAGCCAAAGCTTCTTCTTTCTTTCAGTAGTATGAGCTTATTTCTTTAGTTGGGGTGGGAGAACCAATGTGGAATGGAAACACAGTAAAAAACAAACAAACCTAACTTTGGCTTTCCTTAAATAACTTTATTGTCTCTCCTCTTTCTACAACTGTTTTACTTGGCACTTAAGAGTTATTAACAACAGCTAGGAAAAACTATCATCATAAAGTGAAAACCAGGATATGCTTTGGATTCCTGTTCTATTGCCGCAAACACTTTTAAAATGTGCTGGCTTTATTTTCGTACTCCAACATGCCTTTGCTAGCCATTTTTACAAGGTATAAAGGATTAAATGCAGCAGACCCCACACTTATGACTTAATTGGTTCCATGATGAAGATCATAAAGTGGGCCATCATAACTTAGAACATACTTTCCCATTAGGGGCTTCGTGTCTGGACGGTTCCCAAGGCTCAGTTCCACCCTCCTCTCCTCTCCTCTCCTCCTTTGTCTTCCACAAATCTGCTTGTCCTTTCTGGCCGCTCTGCTGGCCCCTCTTTTTTCTCCTATTCATCTTCTGCTCTCTTGCTTGCTCCTTCTGTCCCTCTCTCCTGTCTTCCTTCTCCTGCTCTGTCTTAAATCACCTTGCTCACTGTTTCTCTCCCACTCCATTAGTTCTGTTCTCCTCTGCTGTTGCACTTGCTGATAAAGTGAGTTTTGACATGATGGAGGCACCAGGAAACAATGGAGGGGTTGTAAAGGTGAGGGGTTGCAAAGTGAGCTGTTGTTAAGTCGGGGATTTACTATATACAAACAAATTTAGAAAAAAAAAATTACACATGATCTTCCACTAAAAAAAACCCTTAAGGACTAAAGACTGACTTTGAAAAAGGAAAGTCTCCAAAGGAAATAAAGAGTCCTACAGGGCATACAGTTTAGAAAGCAAACAAATTTCTATGTTGAAAGAAACAAACATGAAATACAACCTTTAGCATACATATATCAAACTGAAACTATATTTGCTCCAGGAAAGAGACCTGCTAAAATTTGGATGTGCCCATCTCTCAGCACAGGGAGCTTGTTCTCCCAATGCTATAGCCACTTCTTCCGCTGGTCAGCCCCACTAGGGCTGAAACCAAGAAAAACAAGGAGGGTCCTATTTTCAGACAAGCATGGGAGGTGACAGAGGGTGAGGAAGCCATGAGACCTTGCAAACATTTACCTAGACCAGCTGCAGAGGAAAGTGGATATTATTGAGACAATATCTGGTCCCTAGATCCAAGAGGAAGACAGAAGATCAATAGAGTATCTCCTGATATTAAGAGTTTCTGCTTGCAGCCATAATCTGAATCAGAGGAACCTTGAAATCTTCACAACCATAACTATATTTAAAATAAGTATCCTTGTGATACAAACCACACAGCATCATTCAGAAGAATCTCAGTGGTGACAGAATCCACCCAACAAATAATTTAATATTTGGAGTGGAGAGAAGTGTCAATGTCCAAAGTATTGAAGGTAAGCTCAACGCTCTTCTTTGAGACAAGACAACAGTGAAAGTAGATCTCTGACCATTCTGTTCAGCAATATGACTTCAGAGACTGACAGATGGGGGATGGAAGTATATGTCTCCAGAACACGTCCAGACAGTCCTATAGTCTCAATGTTCAGCAGATGTCAGTCTATGAGGTTTGATTGCAAGTCTGTACGTGTCATTGCACTCAACTGTATTGCGAATCATGAGCTCAATGCTATGATACGGTTCCATTAAAAGCAAAGCAAAGAGGAACAGGTTGAGCAGGATGTGCACCCAGAGGAGCAGCCATACCTTCAGTGCTTTCGTCCAACACAGGATCTGAATTTAGACATCTGGGACAGCACTAAAATACAGTATTAAGAGCCGGCAGGCCAGAAACACATTCAAGATGCTGTAAGAGGGGTTTGGGTTGAATCTGATCTTGCAGTAAAGATTTGGGATTTATATGACAGCTGCCACTGAAATAAGCCTCTTGGGTCTTTGAAGGACAAGGTTAAAACCAGGACAGAGGCCAGCCTGGAGCTAGAGCTTGAGACTAACACTGGCAGCTTGCTTAGTATCCTGTCAAGACAACACTTTTCTTTTGACAGATCAGGACAGATTTGTTCCCAAATCCTGTAATTTTTTTTTCAAAGCCACTTGCAGGTATTTGATAGAGAAGTTAACTGCACATCTATTTTTTTAGCAGCTGGAATCAAGGTTTCTGAGGACTGGAAAGTAATAATGTAGAAAGAATTATCAATTTTGAAGCTGAGTCAAAAAAAGAAGTCCAGAAGCCATTATATGCCAAGGTCCCATCATAACAGGTAGCTACCGAAACAACTTCCAAAGAGACACCTTTGACTTTGCTCATTAACCCTGTTCAAAGATGACACTGATCCAATCTGTCACAGAGAGAGCTCTCTGGCCAACCATCAAACAGCAGTCAATGCCCCTCACACCGTACCTACGGGGCTCAGGTGGTGGGAAAGTATCAGCAAACTATTCCCACACCATGGTAACAAGTGTTGAGCGGACCCTCCTCTAGAAATTTATGCAGCTCTAAAAAGCAGAGAAAGAACTGAATCCAGAGGAGATCCTCTGCCATGTTGTAGTCACAAAAGTAAAAAAAAGATGCATATATGTATGTAGACATTTCTATACTGGCTTCCCCCCGCCCCATTTTTAAAAATCCCAAAGCAGATGTACAAGTATATGAATGAAACCACTTGTCCTACCCAGGGTAATATGTAGATAGGAAATCCCTCTATCCACACTGAAGGAGAATTCTAGCTTTTCCTGAAAAGTATACCCACACCAGGAGTACAAATCGGGTATTATAGGGGCTACAGACAAATACTTCATTATGCATGAACGGGGCATGTAGCTTAAGCTGTTTTTATGCTATGGTCAACACACATCACAACAGCTGAACACACACAGCAGTGAACATCTTGGAAAGCACTATTGTGAACTATGGGAAAACATGCCTCAAACTGTCTGAGCACCTTGGACTGAAAAAGAAGGGGTCTTGTAGAAAACAGTCTCTAAATGATAGACTATTCCTTGCAGAATAAATACTTCACTTGCAGGGTACACTGCAGTTGCTTAAATGTATACTGGGAGAAAAGATTAGGAGAAAGCTATTGCTGAGCAGCCTTAACATTCTTAACTGCAGAAGAACAGACTGTAGGAAGGGAAAACCAACAAAGAAGCAGCTGAAACAGTTTGCACAGCCCATAACTTGACCAAGGCTGAGATGAAACCATGGCTGTATAGAAGGAAAGGTTACTGCTGAAGAGAATCAAACCAGACAACATGGGAATAAGCTGAACACAGGAGTAAATGAAGGAGTTGAATGTAACACCAAAGTTAGGTGCTTCAGAGACTGGGAGATGATAACACCTATGTCATGACAACAACAGAAATCTGTAAGGTATTCCAGATGCTAAGATAAGAAGCTGTCTTAGGGAGAAATGTGCTCACAAGTGATATACTAGGCTTTTATAAGATGATTTAGTAGCCAGTTATCATACTGTAGAACAGATATTTACACTTTATTGATCTCTAATTGGACCAAATAGTTCATCATTCCTGCTACTCAATCGTCCTTGGATCATAAAAGCATGTGCAAGCAACCACAACAAACACATAAACAAAAATAGACAAACAATCACACACATGCTGCCACACAAACACAACCCACACACCTCATGAAGGAGTACTGAAGCTGGTAGTGTTTGTACTTAGCAGTCACGACTGCTTTAATGAGGAACTACCAACATTAGTACTGTTTCTGTTATTTAAAGTTTAGAAATGCACCAGAAGGCTTGCTTAACTGGATTCTGAAATTTGTGCTGGAAGGTTTGTAGTACAACAAGACCTGGGGTACCCCTTAAGAAATTCACACCGGGAGGGGATTCTCAGTGCAAATTTTCAGCGGACATATCATCAGGAGACATAATCACAGGGCTCTAAAACAAAAGCAGATCCCCCCTGCCCGGGCCGCCTCAAAATCGTCATCAATGCAAAGCACACACAAGTGGCTTCTTACTTTGGTTGTTGATGCTGCAGAAGAGTTGGCCACAAGGGTTGTTATCACATCACTGTTCACAGTAGTGCAAGCCACTGTGGCTGGAGCATGTAGTCGTGAGGGCACAATAGGCACAGGCAGAAGCCCTGGTCTGTTGTTGCTATTGCTGTTCACCGTGCTGTTACAGTTAGTGCTGTTCACGTGGTTTCCATTGGTGTTCCATTCTCGGCGGTCCCACCCTGTGCGATAATCTCTTTCAAACCGGCTGTGGTGCCGTGACATCTCGGCCAAAGGTGGCTTCCACCTCTTCTCGCAGGGGCTCCCAGAGGCTGCCTAGGAGAAACCAAGGCAAGAAAGAAAAAGGGTGTTAGTAATTAAGCCTTGGGGAAGAAGTAAAGTTCTGCTTAAGCCACCAGGGTTGTTTCTTTGCTTTAATGCTTTGGCCTGGCAAAGCCTTTTTTTTAAAAAAATCTTTTCTTGACTGGCTTCCAATTGCATTTCAAGAAATCCTAATGAGAAAACCAAGACAGAGAGAACAAAAACAGGATGGATTTGTGGCAGAGAGAATGGCTTCTGGCCCCCCCAAGGAGATTGCCCAAACTGCCCATTGAGATATAAAATGACAGTTTAGAGACAATGGAACACCACGCCTGAAGTAATCTGCCACTTGAACTCTCAATGAGGGATTATCTTTTGACAGCAAGGATTATATTTCTAACAGCCTCCTAAAAATACTCTGCTAGGATCCTGCATCACAAAATCCATGCCCGCAGGGTGTGTCGTAAATGTAAAATATAGGAAGGCTGCAACTGAGTTTGGTTCAATGTTGCAATTCATTTGCTTTATTCACTCAGAACACAAATAACAGGAGCAAAATGGATTATTAATGGCAAAGAAATATTCCGGATTTATTTATTTTTAAAAGGCTATTTCGTCGTTAAATAGTAAATCCTGCATTTTTGTGGACCAGTTTTACAATTTAGTTTCCAGCCATGGTAAAAATGATGAATTGTTGATCATTATTTTCAGAATTTACTGGAATGCATTTGGCTTTCCCTATGACGATGCTGCCACTGATAGAAAGGAATTTGCTAATGTATCACACTAATTTTTTTAAAACAACAACAACAAAAAGCAGTTTAAAATTTTAATTATACAATCAGCAGCATGAGTCGGAGTCATTAAAGGCTAAATATCTTCTAAAATGGATAGGTCATTAAAGTAAGATTTCTGATACATACACAGATTTTAACTATTTTACACTTCCTGGAGAATTTTCTTTCCAATAAAGGTTTCAGGATTTGGGTATTATAAAGGTCACAGCTGCTTCATCTAAAGAACCACCATGTCCATTAACTAAATACTTAAGGGAAATCTCTCTCAACCCCTCTTTTTTAAAAAATGTATTAACTTACTGGAATGTAATTTGTATTGAACAAATACAGTTTAATATAGAATCCAGTGTTTAAAATTCATCCAGCATAATGATTTTCCCTTCAAAATTCCTAAAGCTCAGATTCCTTTCTGGAAAATCAATTTGCTATTAGTCCTTCCCTTCCTCCTCTTATTCATTCTGACTTATTCCAATAGAATAAAATTCTCTGTTGTAGCTCTCTAATGTCAGTCTGCAATTCTTTTTTTAAAAAATGCAATTCATTTTGACCCAGAGGTCATATCCACAGGTTGGAGAGAACATTCACATTCAGCTAGACAAAAGTAATATATTTGTATTGTTATTTCTTAAGCAAGCCACAAAAATCCTTGTGGAATGCTTGTAATACCAGGATAGAGAAAAAGGGATTCTAGTTTATTCCACAAATTTTGAATTTGTGCCAGATTTGGAGTAATTCACCCCCTTCCCAGTAGGCGCTTCATGCCCCATTCCATGTTGTTCAGGATGATCCCTATGAGAAGCTTAGGAGCAGGCGGCTGTAAAGGGAAGAATGTAACGTGCAACTTCCTTTTTATGAACTTCCTTCCATCCACTTAAAATCCAAGCCATGGATTTCATGGGGGTCTGAGTGCTGTAGCAAAGCCTTTGCAGTATCCTAATTCTCAAGAGCTGAACCAGAAGACGACACAGATCTCCACAAACCATTCATTCATTCATTCATTCATTCATTCATTCCATTCATACCCCGCCTATCAGGTCATTGCGACCACTCTAGGCGGCCATTCTCTGCCTTGTCTCCCAAAGATTCCATAATTTGTACAGTGCGTGCAGGAGTGCAGTCAACTTAGGAAGAACAATGCCAGTTTCCAAAAAAACAGATAAAGTTCTCTGTGCAAACAGCCATTAATGCACATAGAAGGATATGGGTGCAGCTTTCTAAGTTCCAAGAGAACAGTAAAGAGTTAGGGGGACTGTAGTTTCTCTGTTCATTAGGACCTCTAGAGCAGTGGTCCCCAACCTTTTTAGCCCCATGGACCAGCTGGAAAGGCGGGGGGTACCCCCTGCGCTCCTGCGCATGGGCAAAGGGAGGTGCAGCACTCGTGAGGGCACGTGCTTGCTCACGCACAGGCAGAAAAGGTCTGGGGGGGAGTGTGTGCAGGAGTGGGGGGAGGTCTCTCTGTGCAGCCTGGTCCGGCTCAGGCTACGAACTGGCACTGGGCCACAGACCAGGGGTTGGGGACCTCTGCTCTAGAGAATGCCTCCCCAAAAAACACCAATCCTCTAATGCTGTGTGGCTGTCATGGAGTTAGAAAACTCCATCGACATCCTCCATGTTTAATGGCTGTGGCTGCAGAGAATTCTGGCAAGGAACAGGAATGTATTCTGAGCCTCCTCTGAATGGCAAGGAATGAAATGTATTGTGACGCTCCTCTTAAAACCGTCAGACTTCTAACAGGGGGAATTCCTGCTGAAATCTGGCACAGTGGTACCTCCACTTAAAAACTTAATACGTATTGGGACTGCGTTCTTAAGTCGAAGCACCATTTCCCATAGGAATACACTGAAAACAATTTAATCCGTATGTGCTGTTTTTCATTCTTAAATTGAGGCGCTGTTCTTAAGTCAAAGCATTAGTTCCCACAAGAACTAATGTGAAGCTGGTTAATCCGTATCTACCACTAGGGAGCAATTTTTAAAAAAAATTTCTTCTTTTGACCTAAGGTAAACTTAGGTCAAAAACACGGCAGGAAAGTTTTGGTTTTTTTTTTTTTACTTTTTTGGTTCTTAAATCAAGGCACCGTTCTCAAGTCAAAGCAACTTTTTGCGAACAGAGCCATTCTTAACTCGAATCGTTCTTATGTGGGGACGTTCTCAAGTCGAGGTACCACTGTAGTTGTAGTGAAAATAAACAAACCAACCAAAATATCATGTGTAATGATTTTATCATCACCACCATCATCTCCTTGCAATATTAACACACATCTTATCAGTGTGGTTGATATTACAGCTCTAACGTAATTCAAAACACATGCAAAACTAACTGCTCCTGTAACAAAGAAGCCACTACCAGGATCTTTTTTCTTTTCCACCTCCCTAAAATGGCACTACTCTTAAGAATGATGGCAAAGGTCTCCATGACCCATTTTTTGCCTTGTCTTCAAAGACACCACCATATTTTGTACACTGCCCGCAGGAGTGGAACAAGAAAACCAATTTCCAGAAAATGGATCATCTTTAAAAGCCTTCACTATGCTCATGATCTGCTGATAAGTTCCAGGCTAGTTCAAATCTGATGGTATTACTCTCTTTCCATGCTTGCAAGTTTTCTACATTCCACTTTTATTGTAGGCTTGGAATACCTGTTTCTCTAAAATCTGCAGATGACAGAACAACACCTTCAACAACTTCAGCCATTGTGTCTCTTTCCTGTGCTTCTTCTGTCCTTTCTTATTACCAGAGAAAGTCCATGGGGGGGGGGAAGGAGACAGAATAGCCACACAGTGCTTTTTAATGGAGAATGGAGTCTTGAGTCTAAAAACACCAGCACTCTAACAAACTTGTATTCTTTCATGACAACATAATAGCTTGTGCTGCATTTAGCACATATTCTTATGTGACAGCTACATAAGTGGTCTTTGGAGTGGCACTGCACAGAGAATGACACATCATTAAAATCAAGGGGAATAAAATTTAACATTAAACATTTTATTTGTTGAGCACATTCATCATAGTCATCTTAGCCATACCAAATCTTCACAACCACTGTACTGTAGAAGCTACTGTTTCCTTGTCCATTTTTATTCAGATCTAGGTTTCTCTTTTTGGAGTTATAAAGCAAGGAAAATCAGGTTATTTGCAAGTCTAGAGCTAAAAAAATCATATTTTACAGGTTAACAGCAGTTCAACTTCATTAAGTCAATCAAATCCCAGTTCTTTATCTTTCTCTTCTGAAATATATTAAGATTTCTGACTCTATTTAGAAATAAAAACAACATGAGCACATGGAATCAGAAATACTTCTACAAAAATAACTCTTATTGCTTGAGAGAGAAAGAGAAAGACAGAGACAGAATAGCAAAATTAAGATAAGCACTTAATTATATTAAAAGTTATCAAACCAATTGTTCCAACTGATCCAGCTTAACCAAAATGTCTATAAAAAGGAGACATGACAGCATGTCTGCCATCAGACTAAATACCAAGAACTGCGTCACGTAACTGTGAAAAAGATAGCTTCACAGAGAAGCCATCAGCAGCTCAGAAAATATTAAATTGATAAGTGAAAGTAATTTTATTAGAGAATCTCAGTACAGTACAGTATAACTTCCTGTGCCAAATCTTCTCTTATTTACAGAGAAATAAATACTTTTACTCTTGGTCTACACCAGCACATTAAAACCAACCAATAATTTTTTTTCTTCTAAAAAGCAGAGGGAAAGATACATGAGGTGTATGTATATGCTGAGTTATAGATTTTAACTAAACTAAACTATAACAGCCAGATAGCTCATTGGTCAGGGTGGATTTGATTTAAATCAATTAGATTTTTTAAAAATTATTTATTTTTATCCACCCCGGGTTTAGGTATCTTGCTGCAGAGCCGAAGGTTGGGAGTTTGCTTTCCCACTGTTCCTCCTTGGCAGGGACTGGACTTGATGGTCCATAAGGGTCCCTTCTAGCTCTGCTGTTCTCAAATGTATAATATAATATAATATAATATAATATAATGTAATGTAATGTAATGTAATGTAATGTAATGTAATGTAATGTAATGTAATGTAATGTAATGTAATAATTATATTGTGCACAATAGGAGAGGAAGTGGAACACGTTCCATATGCATTGACTCCAATGCATTTTTTGTATCACCTGGCAGGACAAGGTTCCAAATAGAGCAGTCCTAGAATGAGTCCAAATTTTTAGCATGTATACATTACTG